CTCAGGGACAGCTCACAGACTCTGGCCAGCTACAGATGTCAATATTGGAGCAGTCCTTCTGCTGCTCTCTTCCCCCTCCCTCTTCTGAGTTTCTGTTTCCCCGCAAGCCCGGCTCTGGAACATTCCTAAACACCCAAAGCATTCTGAAACGTTTCAGATGGTTTCGTTTAGTTTCGGAGATGTTTTGGAACCTTCCATTTAATTTCGGGTTTGGTGTTTTGGGTGCTGAAAATGAGCCAAAACACCTCTGAAACGAAATGGCTGCTTAAATTTTGCACAGCCCTAGAGGGCACCCTGGAGCTCAAGCCAGGGCAAGGGCAGCATGGTCACGGCCACCCCTGGACCCTGAACCTTGCTACACTTGGCAAGTTGCATGGGAATGCTCTGGCTTGTGGTAACTGGTTTGGGGGATGCAGTTGGAGCAGGTGGTTGCAAGAAGGCGCTAATCTGCTGTGTCAGTGCTGCTACTGGTTCTGAACCACTAGGTCCTTAATTTGTTGCTGCTGTTGGAAAGCCATGTATTTTAGAAGCATTTCCATCTCCATAGTGTGGGTCAGGGGAAGTACTGTCTGTGATCTGTTTCTGAGCCAGAAAGTGCAGAGGACAAGAGGCTGCTGTGCCCTTCATGCCAGTCTGGAGCTCCCCCTCCTAGGCAACACCTTGGCCTCATGACCTGCTCGCCTTGTCATCTTTATGTTACTCTTCATAAACAGTAAAGGATTTTCTTTTCTCTTTTTTTTTTCTTTTTTTCCAGGTTTTTTTCCTCTTTTTCAGCCCACGCTAATTTTGGATATTAGACACTGGGACCTTAATCCAATGCCTATTTCAGTCAATGGGAGTAAAGGATCAGTTTTTTCTGTGAATTAAAACCTTCATATTTACATTAGATAGTGTATTAAGACAACAAAACAACTTCCAGACTTAAAATATCTGCTCTATGATAGTGGTTATGATGGCATTTTCTCCATATTTTGGTTATTCTACAACTGTCTGTTTGGGTTTTTCTTGCACTTTTCTTGGAACTCTCCTGTCCAAGACAGATATAGATAGATAGCCCTAACAAGGTAATTCCCACGTTCCTATGATAAAATGAAGGGAGAGGCTGGAGAGACTAACAGGATAAGTCTCTTCAGCAATAACTTTGCTAAAGTCTCCAAAGTCAGTTTTGCATTATTTAATAGAGAAGTGACGATCTGTATCCCCAAATGGATTATCTCATGCTGGCTCTGTACAACTGCTTAGTTTACTGTTTCAAAGTCACAAAGAAACCTGATTCTTGATTGTATGTAGATTTATATGTAAAGGGACAAAAATTCTGCACTGCCTCTTGACCTTGTCCTGTCAGCAGGACTTTATTTTTGACTTAGCGTCACTTTTTCCTTGTCATCTTGAACTATCTGTAATCTAAAATTGATGAAATGATGCATGTCTGATCATTCCTATGTCATTTCAGATAGAAGAACTGGATTTTTATGTAGTGGATATAGTCCAAAGAATAGCACGGTGTCCCCTGTGTCTTGTAGTATGCATTAGTATTTTTTTAAATGTTTCTCTTCTTAGTGAATCAAAAAACATTTTTTTAAAGTAATGTTTAGGGATTATTGAAAAGTACTGTATGGGACTCTTTATTAAAAGAACTTTATTCTTCTTCTCTTTGGCCCACTGTAACTGGTTGGGACAGGATCATCAAATCATTACCATGTAGTCATGCCACTGGGGTTCAAATTTAGGATTGTAATTAAGGTTATGGAATTCTAAACTGTACAACATAGAACTTGCAGTGTCATAGGGGAGATAGTGGACTGTGGTGGCTTTAAGTTACATTTTTGGTCTCCTGGTTATGGGCTGCCCCAGTGAAAGGAGTCCCTAGAGTAATATAGCCTAGAGGCCCATCTAAATTTCATCTGTCCCCTGGGTTGCCAAATGGACCACAGCACTGCTGAGAATCTCCACAGTGCTGCATGCTGCAGCCTTTCTACTGAGGGGTGGTTACAAAGAGGATGCAGCTAGACTGTTCTCAGTGGTGGCAGATGACAGAACAAGGAGCAATGGTTTCAAGTTGCAACAAGGGAAGTTTAGGTTACACATGAAGAAAAACTTTTTCACCAGAAGTGTAGTAAGGCACTGTACCAGGCTACCTGGAGAGGTTGTAGAAACTCCATCCGTAAAGGTTTTTAAGATTCAGGTAGACAAAGCCTTGGCTGGGATGTTCTAATTGGGGATGGCTCTGCTTTGAGCAGGGGGTTGGACAGATGACCCCCTGAGCTCCCTTCCAACCCTAATTTTCTATGACTCTGTTTTCCCCCACCCACAGCCTCTCCCTACTACAGTCTCTAAACCAGGACTTGCACTTGAGTAATCCTCCTTTATGGCATTTCTAGGTCTTCTTCATACTACACCAGTTTTTCAGATGGCACAAAGGAGATTGTGAAAGAGTGAGAAATTTGATTTAGGTGTTCTGAGTTTTTTCATCTTCCCTAGTATCTTTGAGGAAATCAGTGACGAACTCTTGAGTTTAAAAGTTGCATTAAAGGACAGGTTGTAGTGTAGCAAGCGAAATGAAACAACCTAAAACAGCTCTTGAGTGAAGTTGATATAGTCCCACAATGTACACTAGGAATTATTGCATGGGTGGAAACAGCTATTGAAGTTGTCAGGGAGCTACAACAGCATTATGTAACTTGTGCTACATATCAACTGGGAGTCGAGCAGAAAGCATGACATGGACATGATGTTCCATCTTAGTCCATGTCTAGGCACCCAAGAGACACAGAGGTCCTATTCCATTTTATTTGGGGGTTAAGTTTTTCAGGGATTCAAAGTGGGTGGTTCCTCCTCCCTCTTACTCCATCTTTTTTGGATCTTAATGTTAAAGCTAAAATGAAGGTATGCTATAAAAGTAGATACATTAATAACTTGTCAGTGATTTGAGCAGAGTGGAATAGGATCATATTTAAGAGACTTTGATGTCTAAGTGCCATTTAGATGTCTAGTAAGTAGAGTAGGATCCAGCCCTAGGTGTTCTCTTTGTGGGAGAATTTTGGAATGCAAATTATTGTTCACTCCAGGGCAACCCCTATAGGAATTGTAGTAAATGAGGAAACATGTCCTTACAAAAAAACAGAGCAATCACTTCCAGAGGGCTACAGAGAGGATATCATATTCATTACTTTGTACCTAACAACCTGGAATCCATTGGGAATGGATTATTGTACCACTGTAATTGTTTAATGTAGAAAACTATAAACCAAGCTGAGTTTAGATTTCTTTACTAGAAAGAAATACAACTTAAAATGGAACTTGTTATAAGGTTTGCTGCTTCTGTAATTTCACAGCAAGATTATTGGCAGCTACTAGTAGAGGTGAAGTTGCAGAAAACATCAGTATTAAAAATATATGGAGAGAAAATACTTACATATTTAATAGCAGCCTTTAATTACCTGAAAGGTGGTTCCAAAGAGGAGGGAGCTAGACTGTTGTCAGTGGTGGCAGATGACAGAACAAGCAGCAATGGTCTCAAGTTGCAGCAAGGGAAGCTTAGGTTAGAAGTTAGGAAAAAACTCTCGCTAGGAGGCTAGTAAAACACTGGAACAGGTTACCCAGAGAAGTCGTGGAGTCTCCATTCTTGGAGGCTTTAAGACCCAGGTAGACAAATCCTTGGCTGGGATGATCTAATTGGAATGGTCCTGCTTGAAGTAGGGGAGTGGACTAGATTATTTCCTGAAGTCCCTTCCAACCCTAATTTTCTATGATTCTATACTGGATGTTATTTTAATGAAGATAACACATAGTGGTAAATGGCATGTACTAAATATAAATGCTCACAAGCAGTGTTCCCTCTAAACTGTGTGGCGTGTACAGGTGTGCCTGGCAGCGCAGCATGAGCACACCTGTGTGGCTGTGCACGCCGCACAGCTTAGAGGAAGCGCTGCTTACAAGTGTGTGTGAATTAGTTGTTAGAAAATGGCTGACATTAATTTGGACTGGCAAAAGATAAAAATGTTTTGTTTTAAAAAACAAACAAACTCAAAACCAGAAACTTCTGTCCCAAAATGAAAGTTAGCCATACTTTTGGAAAAGTTAGCTCACCTCTTTTATCAGAACCTTGAATCAGAGAAGCAAAAAGTCTGAAGAGAGAGTAATCTCCAAAGCCGTGGGCACATGTACACAAGACATTTACCGCAGCGTTGCCTAACTAGCTCCGCAGTAAAGTCTGTCTACACATGCAGCCCTACTACACAGTAAACTAATTAACTTTGCTATAGGTTAGTACTTGTAAACACAGGGGGGTCCTGAGAGTTAATCCTTTATGGACTGTGTTTTTGTCAGTGTTTGAGGACTGACTGATGTAGAAGGATGCCTGTGGGACAGGCGTGCCCTTGGAATAAAGGACTATTGTGTTTTAAAGACTTTGTGAGCTAACCTGCTACAATTACCTGGAATGGAGGATCTATTTACCTCATTAGCTAGTGTTAAGGAATCTAGTGTTATACCAACCTAGCTTTCTACAAATAAAGACAGTGACAAGAAATACCTGAAAACACACAGAAGAGCTTGTTTCATTGTAATGAGCTAGCATTTGGAATAGTCTCTGTACCTGCTCTTTGGCAGTGAGCCATGGACCAAATATGACTGGTATTCCCAGCATTCAATGTTACATGTGTAAAAGTGAGCTTAATGCTCCTGTTTCTTTAAGAGGAAAAAAGCTGTAGGGAGGACTCGGTCCAGAGTCAGGAGAGACACATGACCACAAATGGCCAGGCTTAGGTTGTATATAAGCCCAGGTCCTGATCTGGGCAGACAGTTTGGTCCTGGAGGCTAATGTGAGAAGAGCTCCTGAGCAGACTGCAAAGAGACTCCTGACTGACATCTAGAAAGCCTGTGGGTAATACAGCCTTAGGGCTGGGGTAACACCGGTGGTCTAGGGTGGGACTAAGGTTTTGCATCCCTATGATGCTATAATGGGTCTTATACCAGGCAGAGAGACTAAGACATGATTATCCTAAACTAAAAGCAAGTTTATTGAACCCTAACAGATACAATTCTAATTAAAATTGGAGTAGCAGTAGCAGTTAAAAATGTTAGGTTTGTAGCTAGTCAACGCAGATGCTCACCACCCTGAAATACTGTAAATACAACTTTACTGGTTGATCAGGCCTTGAAATCTTGTCTGGAGCTCCTGGCTCCCACGTCTGATGTCAAGACAGGATCTTGGACCGATGACAGGATCTCTTCGGGCTTTCTTCAGGAGTGTTCTGAGCAGGGGTCCCAATTCCTGTTGTTAATATACCTTATCATTACTGTGTTATTGTTAATACATTAACATAAGCTCTTCCCTACAATACATATTAATAAGCCTGTTTCTGCTTGCCATATATGATTATCTGTAACTGGAATTTTCTAGTAGCCAATACCTTTTTATTCTTAGGTTAGTTTTGCCATTGCTAAATTTCCCTTTTCTCCCAAGCCAAGTTCCTTATTTTAGTTGGCCCAATTCCTGTTTTGATTTTGGTCATCCAACCAGGGTATTTCCAGATCTTCTTTCCCTTTGCCAAGGATGGGTCACAGTCACGGTGAGCTGTCTGTCAAATCTCTGCTGGGTTGCAGCTGGTTGAAGTTAAGAATAAGCGTACAGCAAATACATACATCGGTGTCTTGCCAGGTGCTGTTACAGAAGCCTCTAGTTCCCAACAAAGGTGAGGTGGAAATCTCAGAAATTGGTGGTTAGGGGGGAACTATGGGGAGGAGGAGGTCCCAGCAGGGCCAAGAGCAGAGCAAGAGGCCTGGGAGTAAGGCCAAAGAAGGGGTTAGAGCAGGGGTAGGCAACATTTTTTGGCCGGACTGCTGAAAAAACCACAATGTCTACCTTGAAAGGTGCCGGAGTGCTGACATGCTGGAACCTGAAGCAGCTGTTTGCAGCCTCCTACCTGCAGATGGCCCATGGAGCAGCAGGGCTTGCAGCCTCCCAGCCACCTGCTGGGAGCAGCCTGGGCTCTGTGGCTGGCAGCAGCTGCTTAGAGCCCAGGCTGGCAATAGTGTGCCAAGCAAAATGGGCTTGCGTGCCATGCTTGGCATGCATGCTTGGGGTTACTGACTGCTGGGTTAGAGAGTGCAGGACAGGGATGGACAATTATTTTGGGCAGAGGGCCACTTACTGAGTTTTGGCAAGCCATGGAGGGTCACATGTCAGGCAGCCAGGGGCCGATGCATATTAATTTTCTAATTTTTTTAGGGGCCCTGTGGGCCAGTTAGAATGGCCTGGCGGGCTGTATCTGGCCCACAGGCCACATTTTGCTGGTCCAGGACCTAGGAGAGGCCGAGGTGGATGGGGCTACAGAGCACAGTGCTCAAAGAGAGGCATAGAAGGGGCTCAAGAGCCCAGGTCCCAAGGAGAGGCTGAGATGGATCAGGCTACAGAGCCCAGGGTAGGTTCTGTAGCCAGGACCAAGACTGATGTGGAGCTCTGGGCCAGCTGGTGTGAATGACTGGCTGGATTAAGAGGAAGTTAAAAGCTCCCAGAGAGATGATGCTAGGGAGGGAGGGAAGTTGAGAAGAAAAGCAACAATAAAGCACTGTGGTGAAACCCTTGACCTGGACAGAAAAGGAGGGGGAGAGGGGGCATTGTTGATATTTTGCTATTTTGTTTAGTTTGAGATGGGTGTAATAAGCATTAAAGTGCACATCTTGGAGAGGAGTGCTCCATGCTGGACACAGTGTGGATCGAAGCAGCAGAGTTTTGTCCCTTCTAAAGCATGATGGAGAGCAGTGCATTCTGTCCCTCTGGGGATGCTATACTAAGGGCAAATGAAAACCTGCCTCAGTGGGGACATCCTGAGAGAGAGAAGCCATGGGTAAGAGGCTTGCAAATGAAATGATCCGTCAGCAAGCCTGAAAAAAATCCCAGCCTCCTGACTGGCTGAAAGAGCTCCTTTAAATAGAGGTATTTCCCACCTCCGGGGGGGAAAGGGGAGAGAAGGGTGAAAGACAGCAGAGGGAGTCATACAGTGGCGGATCCACCCCCTCAGTCAAACTGGAGCTTACCAGGGGACCTCCGGAGGACCAGGGAGCGCTCAGCCCGGAAGAACCAAGCCCGGCGGTGGGGTCAGGTGGTGGGGGGTTGCAAGCACAGACTGGCAGTCGGCAACCACCTGCAGATGCCGCTGGCAACATTGTCGGTGACTGGTGGCAATGGGGGACCACCTGCAGACACCGCCGTCAGTGTTGGGCGGGGTGGGGGGGGG